CATCAGGGGGCATGCGGCTGGCTGGGTGCTGTGCTGTGGCTGGGTGGGGCACAAGGTGACAGTTGTGTACCTGGCTGCTGGGCAGGGCATGTGCGAAGCTTTAACAAAATTTGCCTTGAGCTGTGGGCCAAGACTACAAGTGTCTGTGCAGCCCCACCTCCCTCAGATGGCTCTATTTATAATGGGGGACAGGGGAGGAAAATGGTGCTTGCCAGTTCCCTCATTTTCAGAAATCAGTATGAACAGATCTGTCTCCCACTTGCCCCTGACATTATGTAAGCTGCCATTTTGTTGTTACCTCTCCACATAGTCTGCTGTCTCTTTAAGGGTGTCAAGCCAGCTATCACTTACCCTCCCAAGCTCACCCAGAGCTGAGTCAGCTGACTTTTAAAGCTCTAGGCTCCAAGTCCCACTGGTTTTAAAAACTCACAGAATTCAGCCCCTCTGGTTTTTAAGGAAAAAGCCTTATGGGGATCGGTCTTCCCTGTGTGAGCTCCCTGTGTAAGGGCCTGTTTCTGTGTCCTCTCCATGTGCAGCGCCCTCCCTCCTGCAGGTAGCTTCCCCACCCCCACCCCCAACTTTCTGACCTTCCTAAACTTTCAGAGACAGCTTTTTCTCTATATTTAGTTGTGGAGTTTATTCTGTCAGTCTTTGGATCACTCTCCAGTTTATTGACTTGGATGTGGATGATATCTGGTAAATATGGGATCGGGTGAGCTCGGGTTCCTCCTACTCCTCCATCTTCCTAAGTTCTCCTTTGCACCTTATTCTTTTTCAAAACTGATTTAATTTTAATAATTCTTTGGCTTTTCTATATAATTTTAGATAATTCTGTGTACAAAAAAATCTTGCTGGGGTTTGATAGAAATTGCATTAAACCTGTATATGAATTTGAAAAGCACTGCATATTTACTATCTTGAGTCTTCTAATCCATGAGCATGATGTCTCTCCATTTATTTAGATCTCCTTTGATTTCTGTCATCAGCATTTTATAGTTTTCAGTATACAAATCTTGTACATATTTTGTTATATTCACACCTAAGTATTCTTTGTTGAGTGATTTCAAATAGTATTGTAGTTTTTTTGTTTTGTTTTTGTTTGTTTTAGTGAGAGAGAGAGAGAAAGAGTGAGTAGGGGGAGGGGCAGAGGGAGAGAAAAAGAGATTCTTAAGCAGGCTCGATGTTGAGCATGGAACCAGATGCAGGGCTTGATTCCACAACCCTGAGATCATGACCTGAGCTGAAATCAAGAGTTGGACGCTTAACCAACTGAGCCACCCAGGCATCCCAAATGGTATTATGGTTTTAACTGTGGTGTCCATGTGTTCACTTCTGGTATACAGGAATATAATTTGTTTTTCTGGACAGTGTGACAGTGCTGAACTTATTTAGTTGTAGAGGTTTTTTTAGTAGCTTCCTTAGGATTTTCTATGGGGACAATCAAGCTGTGTGAAAGGGGATAGTTTTATTTTTTCATTTTCAATAGATATGCTTTTTATTTCCTTTTCTTGCCTTTTTGCACTGGCTAGAACTGCCACCACTCTGCTGAATATAAGAGTGAACATCTGTGTGTACACACACACACACACACACACACACACACACACACACACAATGGAATATTATGCAGCCATCAAAAAAATGAAATCTTGTCATTTGCAATGATGTGGGTGGAACTAGAGGGTATTTTGCTAAGCGAAATAAGTCAATCAGAGAAAGACAATTACCATATGATCTCACTGATATGAGGAATTTGAGAAACAAGACAAAGGATCACAGAGGAAGGGCGGGAAAAATGAAACAAGATGAAACCGGAGGGGGAGACAAACCATAAGAGACTCTTAATCTCAGGAAACAAACTGAGGGTTTCTGGAGTGGAGAGGGGTGGGAGGGATGGGGTGGCTGGGTGATGGACATTGGGGAGTGTATGTGCTATGGTGAGTGCTGTGAATTGTGTGAGACTGATGAATCACAGACCTGTACCCCTGAAACAAATAATACATTATGTTAATTAAAAAAAAAAAAGAGTGAACATCTTTGCTTTTGTTCCTGATCTTAGGGGCAAAGCATTCAGTCTTTTTTACCATTAAGTAAAATGTTATATCTAGGGTTTTTTGTATTTTTTTATAGATCAAATTGAGGATGTGCCCCTCTATTCCTATTTTTTTGAGTTTTTAATCACCAATGTGTATAAAATTTTTTCACACGCTTTTCTGCATTCATTGATATCATCATGTGATTTTTCTTCTTTAGCTGGTTAATATAATGGATTATATTGATTGATTTTGAAATACTAATCACACATTCCTACAACAAATCCCAATTGGTGATGGTATATAATTCTAGTTATAAATTGCTGACTTATATTTGCTAATATTTTGCTAAGGTTTTCTATATTTTACATTCATGAGGAGTATTGGTCTTTAGGTTCTTTTTTTATATCATCTTTTATATCATCTGTTTTCAGTATCAGGGTAATATTGCTTCATAAGTGTAACTGAGAAGAGTTTCCTTCTCATTTTTTCTGGAAGAGATTATTTAGAATTGATATTAATTATTATTTCAAAGTCTGTAGAAGATTCCAGAGAAACCATGTAGGCCTGAAAATGTATTTTTCTGGGAATTTAAAAATTATGAATACACTTTCCTTAATAGTTATAGGGGAATTCAAATAGTCTATTTCCTATTGAATGAGTTGCAATTTAACTTTTTTGAGGAATTGATCTATTTCATCTAAGTAGTCAAATTTATGTGTGTAGAGCTTTTTTGTTGTAGTTCCTTTTTATTGGTTAGATATCCACAAGGTCCGTAGTGATATCTTTGGTTTCACTCCTGATAGTGGTAGTTTGTGACTTCTTTCATTTTCTGTCAGTATTGCTAGAATTTTGTCAATTTTATTGATTTTTTTTCCAAAGAATCAGTTCCTCACTTCATTGATTTTCTTTATTGTTTTGTTTTCAATTCCATTGATTTCTATTCTTTCTTTATTATTTCGTTCGTTGGATTTATTTTGTTCTTCTTTCTCTAGGTTCTTGGGGTAAGAACTTAGATAATTGACTAATACCTTTCCTCTTTTCTAATAAATGTATTTAGTGCTTTCCCTCAGTATTGCCTTAGCTGCGCCCCACAAATTTTAAGATGTTATATGTTCATTTCCTCTCAAAGGCAGTAGAAGCTAGGATTGAACCCAAAGAGTCTGGATCTTGCATTATTACACAAGTGGTATTTAACATTTGTCTCTCCTCATTTTCCATTTCTAGCCCCAAAGCAGATGTACATGGAAGTCTGATTTAAAAACAAACAAGCAAACAAATAGAACTACTATGGATAATTAGGGGCAACTATTCACTTTACAAAACATTTTGCTGTCATGATAAGGAACTCCTAAGCTCTTCTTGGACAGGTACACTGGTTAAAAATCATTAATGATTTCCCACAAGTACTAGGACAGAAAAAACAATGATAGAACTTTTGTTATAGTCCAATAGATCCCTGGGGCTCTTTTTTTAGAAGCCTATTTTCTTTCAGTTGTTCAAATTGGCTCATTTCTGTCGTTCTATTTTCAAGTTCATTGATCCTTTCCTCTGCTTCCTCATTCTGCTGCTGAGCTTATCTACTGAATTTTTAAATTGTGATCATTGTATTTTTCAGTTTTACAATTTTCCATTTCGTTCTCCTTTATGTCTCTTATTTCTTTGTTGAGGCTTCCTATTTTTTCTTCTGTCTTGAGCACGCTTGTAATTGCTCATTGAAGCATTTCTTTTTTCATGGCCTCCTCAAAATCTGTCAGATAATTCTAACATCTGTTATCTCAGTGTTGGTATCTATTGATTGTCTTTTTTCATTCAGTTTGAGGTCTTCCTGTTTCTTGATATGACAAACAATTTTCTATTGAAACCTGGACATTTGGGGTATTGTGTTGAGTTAAACTTAAACCCTGTATTTTAGTTAGCTTTCTCTGACACTGCTCCAAAGGGGAGTAGGGGTGTGTGTGTGCCACCTCATCATTGCCAGGTCAGATTAGAAGTCCAGGTTCCCTACTTAGCTACCACTGACATCTGAGGGAGAAGACTCTTCATTATTAGGTGGTGGTAAAAATACTAATCTCAAAAAGGCTTCCTCTGACACCACCCCAACAGGTAGGGGTAGGGAGGCTCAGTAGTTGGGGGTGGAGGTCCAAGATTTCCACTTGGTCTTTGCTGGAATGATGGGGCTAGGGCAGCAAGTTTTAGTTTGCTTGTTTGCTTGTGTGTTTGTGTGATGTTTGGTTGGAGTAGACTCATTATTGTCTAAAAGTTTTCTGTCTTGCTATGTGGTCCCTTTCCTGGTTCTTTGGCTAAAGAGCAGGCTTTTGTGTGTGTGTGTGTTTGTCTGTGACTATTAGCCTTTCTGGGCTGTTGGATTTTTTCAACTCCAAGTATGGGATATAAGAGGCAAAAAAGAAAACCAAGGAAAGTTACCACCATGTCATTCCTTGGGTCCCATGGTCCCAGCTAGTCTGTCATTTTCTTTCCACTTTCCAGAGTGTTCTTATGTTTATATTATACACAACATCCAAGATTTTTAGTTATATTTAGGAGTAGGAATAGAAAAAAGTACATCCACTCCATCTTCTGAGAAGCAAATCTTTGCTTTCTGGCTTTAATAGTCACACTTTCCCAACATCCAATGCTACCAAAAATAGCCCTCTTTCCATACTCCTTTTTTAACTACTTGTCCTATCTACTTTAGTTATTCATACAAAGAAGTTGAAAGTAAACCCAAACCAACTAGCTTCATTATACAAGGTGATATAAAAGAATTGGAAGGTTTGTGTCCAGGACTATCATGTAAAGAATTACTAAAGGACTTTCAGCCACAGAGGCAGGATACTCCTTGTCCCTCCAGTATCAAAATGGTCTGTCATATATAATTTTATTAACATTGCTCACCTCTGAAGACCATCACTAAAAGAATAGGACAGAACATTCTGCAGAATTAAAAATGCATAAAAAGCTCACCTTCACTGTCACAGCATTCTAGGATGGAAGGGTCTTCCCGAATTACTGAAGTCAGAGCATTGACATCTCCGTTAGAAGCTGCCTGATAAACCATGGTCAGGTCGACTTCCTCAGATGAGTCACCTTCATGAATCAAACAGAGATACACTTAGTGTGTGTACCAAATTCGCTGAAAGAATAACACCCACAACATCTCCCATACAAGTGATTCATGAAAACTTCTCTGATGAATCCAGGCAGGAGGCTGAGTCATCCTCCTCACAAGCACCCTCAATGCTTCTGAAGAAAGGAGGACCTCTGTGGGCCATGTTGTAACATCACCATATATTGGGAAGGAGTCTGAGGGATTAGATGTCCTCTGAGATTTTATGATTCTCTGTAGGCCTTCAGGCTATTCAAAATCAGTGAGACCAGAGAGGAAAATGGGACCTTTATGTTGGTTCTAGGTTTCCCTCTTTGATCTGAAACATGTTAAACTTTTCCTTTCAATGACTCAGTTTATCCAACTCTGATAGAGATATTGTGTTCTTTATTTTCTGTTCTCCTGATGTACTCTCTACCCCATCCCTTCTTGCTGTGTACCCTGAGGGCTGACACTTGCTGACTGTATCACCCAGCCCCCCCTCGCTCTCTGGTTTGCCCAAAGGAGACACTGGCAAGATACTGGTGGGGAGAAGAGAGAGAGGTAGGGGATTTCTTTCTGCCTTCTCCTGGTGTAGTGTCTAACAGTAGCTGCTTCTCTTTCACCAGGAGTTTCCTCCTCCCCAGAACCAGTTCTTACTGGGTTCCCTTTGGTAACAAACACCACTCTCTCCACCCTGCCTCATCTCTGTATGTAGTCCCTTCACAAAACCAGTTGGGGTTTCATGACATGCTGTTTCCAGAAGGAACAGACCTATATGCAACTCCTTAGAATTTGGTAGCCACCTGTATTATACCTTTGTGCATGACTGAACCAACTAATAGTACTACCAAAGGTGAGAACAGAACTTTGGGTCAAGTGATGCCAGGGGAGCACTGAAGGGCTGGGAGGCAAACTATGCTCATGTGGAGACCCCTAGTGAGGCACTGTGCAGAGCCGCTCTGCTTTTACAGTTTCTCCCACACATAGCCATTATTCAGGGAAAATATATGTGTGCAAGAAAAGTTTTTAAAACTGTGTTTTTCTATGAATGTGGACATTACACCAGAAATACTTTAACGTTCTAATCTTTAATTGGTGGTGATCCTAACCTGTTGGCTGGGTTTCTCTGCTCCAGTACTTCTGGGAAGTCATTAGTGACTTTTTTTAACTAGGTGACCTGTCCCAGGAGGAGCTTGTTATTGAAAATGGTTCACTTATGACAACAAGCTGCTTTGTAAAGTGAGTAGCTGTTCCCTAATTTATCCACAGTAAATTTGTTGTTGTTGGGGTGTTTTTAAAGCAGGCTCACCTGCACATTTGCCTGGGGGCTGGAAGTAGGAGGTGAGAGATAGCAACGTCAAATGCCCCTTTCGTGGTAAGTATGAGGACTCTGGAGCCACACAACTTGGGTTCAAGTCCTGGTTTATACTAACTAGCTCTGTGAATTTGAAAATTACCCTCTCTGCACCTGTTTCCTTGTTCCTAAAATGGAAATTATGAGGGGTGCCTGGGTGGCTCAGTTGGTTAAGTGTCTGCCTCTGGCTCAGGTCATGATCCCAGGGTCCTAAGATTGAGCCCTGTGCTGGGTTCCCTGCTCAGTGGGGAGTCTGCCTCTGCTCTCCTTCTGCCCTTCTCCCTCATTCATGCTCTCTCTTTCAAATAAATAAAATCTTTAAAATAATAATAATAAAATGGAGATGATGATGAGGACAATTAGGACAACCACCTATGTCTATGTCTATGTGTTTACTCCAGAGATTATTCCATGGGACCATGATAGCAGCAGCCTTCAGATATTTGAAGATCTTTTTTTTTTTTAATTAAAAAGTTGTGGTGAAATGTATATAACACAACATTTATCATTTCAACCCTTTTTAAATATATAGTTCAGGGGCATTATGTACATTCATAGTGTACATTCAACATTCACATTGTTGAGCAACCATCACCATCAATCATTTTCAGAACTCTTTTCATCTTCCAGAACTCAAACTCTGTATCCATTAAATAGTAACTCTCCATTAATCCCTCTTACAGCCCCTGGAAACCACCATGCCACTTTGTCTCTATGAATTTGATTACTCTAAGGAATTATTTAAGTGGAATTAACAGTGTTTGTGCTTTTGCAACTGGCTTATTTTACTCAGCATAATGTCCTCAGGTTCATCCATGTTGTAGCATGTGTCACAATTTCCTTCTTTTCCAAGGTTGAATAATATTCTATTGTATTTTTAGACCACATGTGGTTTATCTGTTCATCCATCGGTAGATATTTGGGCTGTTTCCACCTTTTGCCAATTTTGAATAATGCTATCATGAACATCACCTCTTTGAGACCCTGCTTTCAGTTCTTTTGGGTATAAATTTAAAAGTGGAATTGTTGGATCATATGATAATTCTATTTTTAATTTTTTAAGAACCACCATAATGTTTCCCACAGTGGCTGCACCATTTTATATTCCTGCCAACAGCACAAAAGGGTTCCAATATTCCCATGTCCTTACAGACAATTGGTATTTCCTGTTATTGTTTTATGTGTTTATTTGTTTTAATAATAGGGATTAATAGGTGTGAAGTGATATTTCATGGTATTGATTTGCATGGCCCAATGATTAGTCATGTTGAGTATCTTTTCATGGCTATTTGTATATCTTCTTTGGAGAAATGTCTCCTTAAGTCTTTTATCCATTTTTAATCAGGTTGTTTAATTTCTGGTGTTGTTATAGAAATTCTTTATATATTCTGGATATGAACCCCTTATCAGATATATGATTTACATATATTTTCTCCCATTCTGTGGGTTGCCTTTTCATTCTGCTGATCATGTCCTTTGATGCACAAAAGCTTTTAACTCTGATGTAGCTCAACTTGCTTATTTTTTCTTTTGTTGTCTGCCCTTTTGTCATCATATCCAAGAAATCATTGTCAAATTTAATGTCACAAAGCTTTTCTCCTATGTTTTCTTCTAGGAGTTTTATAGTCTAAGGTCTTATGTTTAGATCCTTGATCCATCTTGAGTTAATTATTATATATGGTGTTAAGGTAAGGGTCTGATTTTTATTCTTTTGTACATGGCTATCGATTGTTCCAGCACTATCCTTTCCCATTGAATGGTCATAACACCCTTGTTGAAAATCAGTTGATTTAAATGCATGGGATTATTTCTAGACTCACAGTTCTGTTCCATGGATCTATATGTCTATCTTTATGCCAGTACTATAGAGTTTTGATTACCATAGGTTTTTAGTATATTTTGAAATCTGGAAGTGTTGAGAACTCCAACTTTGTTTTTCTTTTGTAAGATAGTTTTGGCTATTTGGGGCTCCTTGAGATTCCATGTGGATTTTAGGATGGATTTTTCTATTTCACAAAAACAAAAAATTTTTTGACAGAAGGTTACAAAACCATTTATATGCAGAAGATCTAGGTAAACAATACATAAATTCTTCCTTCTCTTCTTTCCTTATTATCCATTTTTTAATCTATTATCATTGGAATTTATATAGAGAGTACATTGAATTTCTAGATCTCTTTGGGTAGCACTGACATCTCAATATTATCTTTTAATCCATGAAACAAGGATGTCTTCCCATTTATCAGTGTCTTCTTTAATTTCTTTCAGCAATATTTTGTAGTTTTCAGTGTGTAAGTCTTTAGCCTCCTTGGCTAAATTTATTCCTAAATATTTTTTTTTTGATGCTGGTGTTGTAAATAGAATTGTTTTTCAAAGAACTTTTTAAACAAATTATTTTATGGTTTGTTTTGTGGAACTCTAGCAATTAGAAATAGCACTAAGCGAGAGTGACAGAGAAAAGGGTATTTTAAGTGTTAAAGCAATGTAAAAATATTCTGAGTCACTTAAGAGGTAGTGAGTTTCCTGACATTGAAGATGGCCAATCTTGGGTAGATGGCCACTAAGGAAGTGTATTATGGAAGGAATTCACACAGCATGAGGCACAGCATAAGGGGACAGGAAGATGTGAGAGGCAGTAAGGGGACAGGAAGATGT